GCGCCCCCCTTGCCGAGCCCCTTCCCGCCCTTGCCTCTGCCAGACATGATCACACACCGATCTTCCTCAGCAGCTGTGGCGGGAACGGGCCGACGGCGCGCCTCTATATTGCCGGCGGTCCGACCTGATTGAGGACTGCGCCGGGGAGGGGACGGGGGAGAGGGCTGGGCTGGGGGCGGGGCCTTCTCTGGTCTTTCCCCCGGTTTTGGGCGGAGGGCGGGTGTTGCTCCGCGTCTCTGGCCGGGCCAGTTATCGCTTCCGGCCGTCTCTGTGCGTTGCGGAGTCGATTTTACGGTCCGGCCTCGCTGCTGGCTTGCCTGCCTTTCTTTGCTTTCTCTTGCCGCCTGGCTCCCTATCGCTGTTGTTGCGGCACTCGTTGTCGGAGTGAGAGCGGGCCGCTGCCGGCCGCGACTCTGCAGCAAATGCCGCTCCCATCTTCTCCCCGGAGTTCCGCCGCCGCCATTTCGCGGCGCTTGTACAAAGGTGCCCAATCCCTCCACCCCCCTTTTTTTTTCTCTCATGGGTTCCTACTGCTATACTACTACTTCATCTTTAACATTTTTTCGAAGTAATTTTTTCGGTGCTTTTCCATTGATTTATCGTATTTACATTTCATTCTCTGTTATTTTTCTTTCCCTTCTTTTGAACTCAACTGTCTCGGATACTGTGAGACTTCTTGCTTCTTCCCACGTTTTCAAATTGCACTGCAAGAATGTTCTGAAAAGCCATTAAATCGTGTCTACTTTGTTAAGTTGTGTTGCATGAGACTGCATATTTTTCTTACATCCCATAGGTTTTTTGAAGTCTTTGGGATTTCCATTAAGTTTGGAAAGTTACATACATATTATGTAATTTACCTATTAGTAGATTTAGTCTTGCTTAATAAATTGATTTATAAAATTTGAGAATAAAAGTATTGATTGATACGTATTTTTCCCCTCGTTTGCTGTTTACAGAATAAACGCAGTAGGACAGAAAGCTTCATAATGTTTCTGTGTTGAGTGTATTGTTCCCCACCTATCATTCCTCTCACTATTTCATATGCTACACTTTTCCCTGCATGTGGTCAGCATGTTTCTCCCTACACTTGTGCAGGCACAAAATAAATCTTTTGTTCTTCATGGCTGCTGAAAATATTTCTTTTTCCCATCTCACGTGGTATAACTCTTTTCAATCGTGACTGACTTGTTTGTTTCTCGTTGCACATCTTTTTTTTTTTTTTATATAGCTTTGCTTTCATTAACCTAATAACCTTGAATGATTTAGATGTTATTCGTACTCTAGGTACGCATGTCTCCAGGCAAACATTTTCCTGCACCTGTTTTGAGTTAATGGGAACACGTGTCTGCACCACAACCCACCTTACCCACTTTTCATACCCAATGTGGCTGAATGCTTCTTGGCCAAATGGTTGAAATCTCTTTTAGCGTCAGTTTCCTACTTCTGTTCAATTCATAAGAATCCTTTTCTCTCCTCTCTCTTCTGAACATTTATTTTGTGTATTATTTTCTTTTTTTCAGGAAGTTTAACCTTTTCTTAATTTTGTATTCTTTTTCTCAGTATCAAATTTCCCTAAGGAAATTGCCAACTTCTTATCCTTGTCCACATTTTGATTGTGACAACCAAACTGCTAACAACAAAATTCATCCCTGACCTACAATAACTATTAAACAAAACAAAACACAATAGTTCAACTACTAATGTATGGATTTTTGTTACAATCAGTTTTAAACAATCTGTGCAGATATGATAGTGCTGTGGAGGGATGTACAACAGATTGCTGTATTATGCAGTTGAATAACTTGAGAAGTATGTTTTGTCTTTCTTATTTGGGAAATTCAAGCTTTGTTCACCCAATTGTATCCACACACTGTGACATGAAGTTTCTGTTTTTACTTCAGTATGATGTATGTGCACTGTGTCTTTCTCTCACTGCCAGCTGAGTTGCAGAATATAAATGAATACTACTGATGTGTTAGGACACTGCTCACTGTAGCTAAAGTCAAACCAAAGGGAAGGGCATACTCCCTACTTACAGGAGCTTCAGTGTCTCAGTGTTCTGAAAAGCAGAATGCATTGCTGAGAAACCTGCATTTATTACATTTTGAAGTATCACTTCACCTTGTCTTTGTTTTATCCCACAGCCTGTGCTTATCCTTTTCTCCTGGTCGCTCGTTTGTATGGATTTTGATACTCACAAAACCAACAAATTTCTATTAAGCTTATTGATTACTTTTACAATTAATCTTTTCCTATTAGCTGAGACAGAGTGGAAGGATGATGAGTGCTGTTCTTTTCCTCCTAATCTTCCCATGTGACAACCAACATTTCAAGAAGGAGACTTAAAATGAGGTGAAATTAAAAACTTGTTTTCTTTCCACAGATCTACTTTGAGGTTCTGAGGAAACTTGTTTAGGTGTTGCCTTCAAGGAGGTAAGGATCTCCTAGGAGATTTGTTCTCATATGTCTTTTCAATTTGTTTGGAGAATTAAAATCAACTTACACAGTCTTCGTAGCGAGTTGCTGTTTTTAATCAGCTGAGAAAACTGTTATAGAAGAGTTGCAGTCTGGAGATGATGGATTTGCCTTGCACTAAGGTAGAAGCTTGTGATAAATGTGCTACAGTGCTTCCCTGATAAATCTGTCAAGGAAAGAAATAAAGGCTGCGGCACCTTCCCAGGGAAATGTGAATGTTCTCATAGTATAATGTCATTTTTTATTATAAAAATTAAATTTTTTTTTAATTTTATTTTAAATTAAATTTATTTAAAATTAAATGTGGAGGGCCAAGTAAACACGGAGATGAACTTTTGCCTGAAGTAACAATAACTGTGATGAAAAACACAGCAAAATACCTTAATGCATGCAAACAAACAACAACTATGTCAATTAAAGCAGCACACAAAAAAATTAATGCTCTGTGAATCTCAGTGGAGAACCAAAGATGTCAGTCTCCCTGCAGACCATCAACTTCCACCTGTGCACAGGTCATCTTCCATGGAACAGATCTGCATGCAAGGGTGGTGGTTACCCCTCAATATAAAAGAGAATCCTATATGTTGAACCTGGGAGCTCAGTCATCTCCTAGATTTCTGCTAGACTGAGTTTTGGTCAGCTCAGCCCTTGTTTCTGCTCTCATTCAGGTGCAGAATCCTGATGGATCTGGTGCATGGACTGACTTCTCCTTATGGGTCTGTTTGTCTGTATGGGTGCACAACAGCATTTCTTCTCAGCTGAAAATTTACTTTTGGCCTCTTCCTGAAGCTGCGTGCTGAAGACCTTCACTGCTACATTCTAATTAATTTCTCTTCAGGTGAAAAATGCAAATTCTTATGCCATGTGGATCATGTCAGCTTCTACCACAAGGATTATGCAATCCATCTCTGGTAGGTACTTACAAGCCTCACTAAAATCTCTCTGTGCTGGTCTGTCTTAACAGTTCTTTAGGGACTGCATGATGATCTCAGGGGTCTTTTCCAAACTTTATGATTCTTAGATTCAAAATGTGCTCAAATCTAATATGACAATTGCTGTTGGAATTCTCCCCATTTTAAAAAGCCTAGGAACTTCTCCAATGTAGCTGTAAAGTCCTTTAGCATTTGGCAGCCTTAACAAAAACAGCAGGTGTCTGGAACCAGTGAGTTGTGTGAACTTCATTGCCCACACAGATGGAAGGACACAGTTCATAGAAGCACTGGGTTGGAAGGGACTCTTAAAAGCCATTTGATCCAACTCCCCAGCAATGAACAGGGTCACTACCACTAGGTCAGATGCTCATAGCCCTCCCAGGCTGACCTTGGGTGTCTCCATGGATGGGACATTCACCACCTCTCTGGGCAACCTTGTCAGTGCCTCACCATCCTGACTGTAAAAAAAAAGACAAACAACCCTCTTCTATCCAATCCAAATCTTTCCTCTGTTAGTTTGGAACCATTTCTCCTTGCAAACTCTGCAGAAGAGTCTGTTCCCTTGTTTCTCTGCATGACCTTTACAGCATTCCTATCTTGGGCTCTCCAAACTTGAGGTGCTTTGGCGGTTACTATACACAAAAATGTTCGGCTTCTTTAGACCATAGCTTTCAGTTTCGCCGTCTGTCCTCCCACCCCTGGTCCCTGATCCTTCAGATGCATAATGCTGCTATCTTTCACCTTCACTGCAACCTACAGGTTGATCATAATGAAAGCATCCTGTCACACATGCAAACCATAGATGGTGATCTGTTTCTTCAATGCTCCAGAACCACTGCAAGGAAACTCACTGTCAAGGATTGGCAGAAGAGGAACAGAATGCTCAACATAGGATACTGTATCTCTGTGCCATGGCAGCACTGTGCGAAGTAGTTACAGCTTGAGTGCTGCGCCTGTTGGATGGAATTTTGTCTCCACTGACTTCTTCCAAATGAAGTGCTGAAGGTGATGAGCGAAAAGGTGAGGTTGGCTCCATCTCTCCCCTCTACAGAAATGACTCCTGAAGAATGCGTCCGCTTGCATAATGGTGACCACTTCCTAATGCTGAGGTTAAAGAATTACCGTAACTTTCAAACTTCCAGGTTGGTCTCTGGTGCTGTCACCTGCCATCCTATGTACATTCTTGAAGGTTTAGTGTGCAGTCAGGCATTGAGTTTTCTCGTACAGAAAGAACAAGGGAGAAATGCTTTGATGAGAGCAGGCTCTTTGCAGAAGTGGTTTATCAGGCAGCTTGCACTGCTGTTCATTCCCAGCTGTGGAGGCCACGGTAAGAAAACAATATTTGGTAACAGGGAAAAGTGATAACCCTGATTGCCCCTTGGCTGTTTATCCCATACAGTAGCCACAACGTAGAGAAACTGCAGATTAAGTAACACCGACAGCCAGTCCCAGAAGCACTGGAACTATTCAGAGAGAATTTTTGAAGATGCAAAGAGTAAAGAAAGAGGCACAATGAATCAGCTGCATTTTACATCACTCAGCATTTTTGTTGCCATTGCATATGTTTTTAATCAGCCGAGATAACTGTTACAGAAGCAGAGCTTTTTTATTTTCCATATCAATGCAGTTTCTGCTGCACTTGTACAGCTGTAAAGTAACTGGCTCTGAGACACCAATCTCTCCATTCATATTTCATGAATGTGGGCATCTCAGCCTCTGAAGTTGTGTGAATGGAGTCATGTGATTTTCTTTCACGTTTCCCTATGTCTAACTTGATCGTGCACTACGTACCTGAGAGTAATCAACAGCAATGTCAGTGACTTGTTTTTGTCTCCTTTGGTGCCTAAGCAGTTGGCTTTCAAAGGAGCTTGAGCAGGAATGTACTGATAATATCATCCAGGAAGTTTCTCCACATTACGGCAGATTTGAAAATATTTCTAATTGATTATGTTTTTACTTACAGAAAGGTAATACAGGAAAAGGAAATCAATATTTATGTGAAGGGGCTTGAGAGTAGCCTATGAAAAGATTGATGAGCATTTATCCATTGTATAAAATGTCACAGTCACAGAGTCAAATAAGTTTTACTCAGTTTAATAGAGTTACCCTCAACAACAGAGAATTCATTCTCTCTCTCTCTCTTTCTCTTTATCTATGCATACACATATTTGAATTAGGCAAATGATCTCACTTACATACTTGGTAAATACCACAACCCAAAGGAACTTTTCCTCCTGAAAGGCAGTAGAAAAAAAAAAATCATACCTGCATTTAAGACCATGAAAGATGGCTTAGTAGCACAGAAATTTGGAAAATATCTTTATGCTCTCCAGAGGGGTCCCTATTACAGAGTAATCAAGCAACTTTTTCAATAAAAGTGTGCATCTTTCTGAAGGAAAAGACTAGTCATATATATAGTCTATACACTATTGTTATTATACACTATTTGTGATACTTAACAAAAATGTGAATATTCCATTATTACTCCACTGTTTTTTTGTTTGTTTGTTTTTCTACATTCTAGGTAATGTTTATGTAACTGTGTGTAGTTTCTTTTTCTTTTTTTTTTTTTTTTTTTATTTTGATATAATTTCAATTATTTTCTTTATGAAAGAAAACAAAAATCTATGAAGAAAGTACAGGGACTGATGCAACAACAGGTTGAATAACATTCTCTGAAGCCAGTCTATCTGAGAGAAAGCATCACCCAGGTGAGTACATTTGAACAGAAGTTTATATTTTGTGTGGACTCAAAGGTCTAAAGACTCGGTGTGTTTGTGACATGACATGCTTTTGTTGTTCCATGACTACCAACACCTGTGATGCACTCTTCTTAAACCAAAATGTTCCTCTTTTATGTAGAAAAATGTTTGATATGTAGCAATATGTTTTGACCCAGGCACACTCCCATCATTCAGCAACCAAAACACTGGTGTGCAATTAACACTGTTTTGGCTGAAACTGGGATGTTTAAATAAATAGCATTTTTTAAAATGCCATGAAAATCCTATATCTGTGGCACGGAAAGCAAGAACAGCTGGAAGGAAGCCAGGCTCTTTGCCAGGCAGAAAGATGGCTGTAAGGCAGAGAACAACACATCAGTTGGTGAATAACCCTGACCAAGCAGAAATAGCATTTAATGAAGATGACAGAGATTACGTTAAGAAATCACAGCACAGAGCTTCTGCTGGGGGAGACGTGCAGCGGCCGCTTTGCTTTCCTTCCTTGCCCTATTCCTCGGGAGGTGCCTTCCGAGAACAGAGATCCCGAGCCCTGAGCAGCAGTCTCCAGATGGCCCCTCCTACGGGCACAGGATGGCTGCGAGGATCGAAGTGGCCAAGTAGAAATGTAATGATCTGGAGGGCAGAAGACTTGCAGAAAAACCCAGCGGAGCGTGTAACAGCCACCCATAGTATCATAAGAAAAGACTAGCGTCCAGTTCAGAGCGGTGTATGAAAAGCCCGTAAAGTGCATAGAAAATTATGCAGTGAGGGAAAGTGCAGCACATTTGTTACGAACTCGTGATCCACCGTCACCTTAATGTTTCTGTGCCCATTACCACCCGAGCAGCCCATGCTGTACTTGGTAAACACACTTGCGCAAGGGGTGGAAGGGCAAGAAAACACCACCCCGCCCACAGGGCACCGGGAACCGCTTTCCGCGCGGACCCAAACGAGATGCGCGCCACCTCCGAGGCGGTTCAAAAAACGCGCGCTCCACTCCGATTGGCCGCCACAAGAGAGGGGCGGGACTTTGACCCTTGCGCGTCGCGCGGTGCGAGCGCGCCGCCTGCCCCGCTGCTTCCAAGCGTGGGGCAGCGGCAGGGGAGGCGGGGGGCAGATACCGGCTGTACTTCATCAGTATCTTTACTTTTATTGATTTTCAGCAAAAAGTAACTGTAGCTTCCAAGCAGAATAGACATATGTTATCAATAATGAGAAGTTGGCACTTGGTGATCGCTATAAATACAATTCTAGTTAAAGTCAGTTTCCAAAGTAACAGCAAAGCTGGTATTTACACTGACGTGTTCCTGCTCTTTTTAGGAAAGTGTAGGTGGCTCTGAAAAGAGCCTTTGGGTTGTTTACTTTTACAGCTTCACTTGGCCTTAGCCTTGTGGCTGTCGGTCTTCTTGGGCAGCAGCACGGCCTGGATGTTGGGCAGCACCCCGCCCTGCGCGATGGTGACCTTGCCCAGCAGCTTGTTGAGCTCCTCGTCGTTGCGGATGGCCAGCTGCAGGTGGCGGGGGATAATGCGCGTCTTCTTGTTGTCGCGGGCCGCGTTGCCCGCCAGCTCCAGGATCTCGGCCGTCAGGTACTCCAGCACGGCCGCCAGGTACACCGGGGCGCCGGCACCCACCCGCTCCGCGTAGTTGCCCTTGCGCAGCAGCCGGTGCACGCGGCCCACGGGGAACTGCAGCCCAGCTCGTGATGAACGCGACTTAGCCTTGGCGCGCGCCTTCCCGCCCTGCTTCCCGCGGCCAGACATATCGCAGTCTGCAAGTCAGCCAAAAAGTAATCGGCAACACAAACTGGACGCCAGGAGAGTCGGAAGAATTCAAGAGTAGCTGAGTACCGTCCTTTTATCCCTTCCTGCTGAGGTCGTGCGGCACTTTTGATTGGAGGAGACGGTGATTGTGGAGTTAGCCAATGGGAACAGCTGTAGAAAACCGACCAATTGAACACCGCGAGTGATTTTGACGTCACGGTCCAAAGATCTCCAATGGGAAGGAACGACCTCGAATCCCCTAATTTGCATACCGCCTCTATAAGTATGGGCTGCGGCGCCATTGTACCTGCGTCGATCCTGCGGTACAGGCAGCGGCGGGCGTGTGCGATGCCGGAACCAGCGAAGTCGGCTCCTGCCCCTAAAAAGGGCTCCAAGAAGGCGGTCACCAAGACCCAAAAGAAGGGTGACAAGAAGCGTAGAAAGACAAGGAAAGAGAGCTATTCGATCTACGTGTACAAGGTGCTGAAGCAGGTGCACCCCGACACGGGCATCTCGTCCAAGGCCATGGGCATCATGAACTCGTTCGTCAACGACATCTTCGAGCGCATCGCCGGCGAGGCGTCGCGCCTGGCGCACTACAACAAGCGCTCGACCATCACGTCGCGGGAGATCCAGACGGCTGTGCGGCTGCTGCTGCCCGGCGAGCTGGCCAAGCACGCGGTCTCCGAGGGCACCAAGGCGGTCACCAAGTACACCAGCTCCAAGTAGAGTGGTGCGGATTACTCGATTTTAACCCAAAGGCTCTTTTCAGAGCCACCCATGCTTTCAGTAAAAGAGTGTTTCACAGATACGTGGTGGTGAGTGGTGCTGCTATTTCATATTGTCTTTGGTTGTCAGAGTGGGCTGATCTGATTAATGATGGGAAAAAAAAATGCTTACTGCTTATGCTTCACATGTTAAAATCTGAATGTGATGTTTTACATGACATAAAGGAACTGAGTAAAAGAAATACGTACAGATTTTATGATATTCAAATCAATTTATTCGCCTAATAAGCATTCCTCTGATAATCATTTCCATTCCAAATTTTAAGCAGGTAGAGGCACATACATGTGGATGTTGTCTTTCTGCTTTGAAATAAAGCAGCCTTTGTTACAACTGCAGTCCTATGCTGCATTCACATCATTCCTATTGACGTCCCCACTAAGCACTGTCACCTTTTCCCAGGGACCTGGTCGTGGGTAACAGTAGTTGTGTGACCCAAAGAGTCTCCATGGAGACAGCGCTGTGTTCATGACTTCTGCTAGGCAATGATGCTCCATATTTATCATCTCCTATGTAGGGCTGTGCAAATGGTACTGGGTATTACTTAAACGAGCCAGAGAGTTTTGTAATGATGTGGCGTAGTTTGCTTTCCTCTCTAAATAAAATAACAGAAGATCGGCTGGAGACAGAGGGGTGCATTAATCTAGTGCACACACTGATAGGTGTACATAAATATATATATATATATATATATTTAAGAGGAAAAGTGAACGAGAGCGGCTTATGAAATGCGGGTGATAAGGAGAAGGCTGGTTTCGGAAAGAGCCTTTCACGCAGGCGCTCGCACCCTGGCTGCGGGACAGATGGCCGTGTTCCGCTATGCTGACGGAAGGCTGCGATCGCGCCGCTCCCCGAGAGCTCCGCCGCAGGGGGGGAAGGGCACAAACCGAGGGCGGAGCTGCCTGCGGAGAGGCGGGGACAGCGGAGCGGGAAAGCGCCGTTACCTGCGGAGCAGCGCGGGCTTTTCAAATCCTGCCTCTGCCCAATGGGGTGGCAGTCTCCACTCCAGCCAATCAGAGCGCGCCCTTGTCTATAAATACGGGGTCTCGCAGCCGCTTCTGCATAGTTTCCTTTCTCATTGCCGAGGGGCTGTTTGGGGAAAATGGCGCGCACGAAGCAGACGGCGCGTAAGTCGACGGGCGGCAAGGCGCCCCGCAAGCAGCTGGCCACCAAGGCGGCCCGCAAGAGCGCGCCGGCCACGGGCGGCGTGAAGAAGCCGCACCGCTACCGGCCCGGCACGGTGGCGCTGCGCGAGATCCGCCGCTACCAGAAGTCCACGGAGCTGCTGATCCGCAAGCTGCCCTTCCAGCGCCTGGTGCGCGAGATCGCGCAGGACTTCAAGACCGACCTGCGCTTCCAGAGCTCGGCCGTCATGGCGCTGCAGGAGGCGAGCGAGGCTTACCTGGTGGGGCTCTTCGAGGACACCAACCTGTGCGCCATCCACGCCAAGCGCGTCACCATCATGCCCAAGGACATCCAGCTCGCCCGGCGCATCCGCGGGGAGCGCGCCTGAGCTCCTGGAAGAGAATCTGACTATCGAAAACCCAAAGGCTCTTTTAAGAGCCGCCACAGGGCCAGTAAAAAGAGCTGTAAACTCTTAAATCTTTTGAGGGTTTACTGCTGCACGTGTTGCGGGTAGCCTTTTGTTGACCAGTTTCTAAGGTAAGTGCCAAGGGAAGTATTGCCGTGTTTTTAAGAGGTTGAGAGGGAAGTTTGCGTCGTTTAAATGCTGCTTTGTCAGTGACGGTGTGAAGGTCCATTGGTAAGAAAAGCTCAGTTTTATGGATCTAATGAATAGACTTGCTTTTCTGGTACCGTTGTAAAAGGTTTTTGAGAACTTTGATAAGCTAAAAGCAATATGCCTCACTTCTAAAAGCCGGTATTCCTTAACGTAATGGTCGCTTAAAACGGTCACATCTGTTTAAATGCAATTCTGTATTCACTGTTCCCTTCCTCGATTGCAGTATGTTGCAAGTCAAGTATGTAGTTCATTGCCCACGTTATTCTGTAACTTTTATTTCCTTGTGCTCAAAGCGTTAAGAGTTTATTAATCCTACAGTTAAAAATAGTGCCTTTAATTGTGAAGTAGCACAAAGTCCCGTTTCCGTAGCTGCCCATTCCTGCATGGGTGCTTTGCCACACGTGGGCTCATCATTCTTGTAAGCAAGTCCCTCTCGTCAGTCTCTGGCCCTACTGAAGTGCTTTTAGTTTACGTTTGAATCCAACACAATTCCTGGCAGAGCATGGTACTCAATGACTCCCGTACACCTACATGTGTAACGAGGTTTCTGCCTGACTGCCACTCTGCCATGCAGCTCCTTCACATCCTACCCAGAAGTCGTATACCTGTTACAAAAAACACAATTTCCCAACCCATTTCTAATTTCCTGTTGCATCCTGTGTTTCTTGCTTAACACAGCACAGCCCTCCTTATGTCCATGTAATGCCGGGAGATCCCTGCTCTGCCTGATCGAACTGGTTCTGCAGTGCTGCGTGGAAGTAGGTGAGATGCAGTTCTCACTTCTGTGAACGAACACAGACGAGGAGGATTGCTTGGAGGGAATAGATATTTTTTCAAAGCTTCATGCAGTAAGTCATGGGTTTTGTGGTGTGGGTTTTTTTTTTTTTGTTGTTGTTTTTTTGTTTGTTTGTTTTTTTCCCTTCCCCTTCTGTGTAATTGCTGATACATTTTGTTTCAGGAAATATTCCTTCCTCTGTTTCAGGAACTTTGGGCTCTGCAGCAAAATCTGACCAATCACATTCCTCCGTGCTCCATTTTCTTTCCTGTTTTTTTCCTTCCTTTCAGCCATTTTCTGTTTTACTCAGAGCAGTAACCTGGGGGTGGGGTGAGATTGTGGGGTAGATCTCAGAATAACACTTTGGAAAACTTGATCAGATTATGAGCAGTTTTATTATCCCCCCCCGTATTCACTGACATAAGATCTGTGCTTTCTGAACAGATTTATGCATGTTTTTTTCCTTTGTTTTTTTTTTTTTTTTCCCCCCCGAGGGTAATTACTATCATGCTTGTAGAAGTGAACTGTAGCAAAATGCAATGAATTTCCTGTTTCTCTCTGTTATACAAAGGGATCCATTAGTTACCAAAATCTCTTTATCAGAATGTATTTACAGTAAATTCCATGGTAAGACTGAAGCATGGCAAGCAGAGTGCATTTCTAATATGTAATGGACACTGAGTATGTTATACAGGCTGCATAAACAGTTACATTTTAGTACGAGTTTGGGCAAAAATAATAAAAATGTTGCTTTTTTTTTTTTTTTTTTTTCTTTCTCCTTTTGTGTGTTTGAGGAGAAGGGAAGCTGGGTTTTATTGACTGGGATTACTTTGAGTCTGATTCTGAGAGTTACATTTCTAAATAATAATTAAAAATATTTAACACTTGAGCAGTTCAAGGAAGTAGACATGCAAGGGTTTTGCAGGAAGAGTAAAATCATATGATCCCTGAATTTGCAATTCCTGGGCCTGAAAAAAATCTGGTATTTAACACAGAAGGGCACTGATGACAATAATAATCTGTCAGAGATTCTGTCTCCAGAAAATCAAACTGGCAGTCAGGAAAAATTTACTGCATGGAATTTGAAGTGTGTAACAACTGCAGTGGTGGTACCAGGAAGCACAGCAGGCTGACTGCAAATCTCCAGTGGGCTTTGCTCTTTCCTCCTTACATAAGTGATGAATCCTATCAGCTTGTGTGTGATGCTGATTTAGTAAGCTGTAAAAGAGCAGTAACAGATCAGACAAAGTTAGGATAAAAATACATCTGCTCAGTGCAATACTTGGCTGAGAGAAATCCTGGCTGTTTTGCCACCCTCCGTGAGTGGTCTAGAGCCCTGTTGATATGATGAATTAAATCACTGCTGGGATGAATCAGTCCAATGGGCAGCATCACCACTGAGGCCTTCCTGGCGAATTTTTTCCACTTTTATTAGAAATGCATAAGCCCAGATTATGTATACTTATATATAGGTATTTATAGATATATATATTTATATATAGATATTCGAATCAGCCATACTTCAGGTGCTTATTAATTTAGAAAAAGCTCTAAACAAAAGCTTTTTCCATATGAAAAGAGTGGTGGGTTTTGTTTTTGTGTTTTTCTTTTTTTAATTGATCATTGTAATGTAAAATTAGTGCAAAGGGTGGTATTGTTTCTCTCCAAAGAATCAGAAGTAACTTCAGCTGAGTGGAAGCATCTTGTAGATTGTAGATGTAACAAATATTGAAGAGGTGCAATATAGGCTGGTTTGTTTAGCTATGTACTGTGCTAAGTCTGTGCTGAAAGTGCTGATGCACACGTGCAGATGAAATACAGACAAAATATCCAACAAGTTGTTAAGTTTGCCATATATCCTGCTCTCAGCTTTCTTTACACTTTATCCCAACTCAATGTTACGCATCTTTGAGGGTTCCAACATCTTTGCATAACTGCCCTATGTAATGAATGTTCGAGACAGTTATGAGCATCTTGTTCTCTCTGCATTTTTGCATGCTATCCTGAGCACAGCACACACATCCAACAAAGCTGTACAAAATGCTGTTCCGCAGTAGCATCATCCTATGAGGCATCTAAGGAGGAAATTGTTTCAGCAGACATCAGAGATAACTTTCAATAAATGTTGAGCTTTGAATAAAAACCGCAGGACTAAGATATATTCCCACAGATTAGCATCTATCCATGTATTAGTAAAGCATGGATACAACCCCTTTTTTTTTTTTTTCTCTCTTCTTTCCACTGATTAACATATGATGTCTTTTGAAATTGAATGTCATTTTTCTTTGTTGTGCCAGTTTTGATCTTCCCATCAGTTCTGAGCAGGGCTACACAATATAATTTTTGTTTTGTTCATAAGGAAAACAACAGTTCCAGAAAATAAACTATGCTCATTGACATGAACTTGTTCTTTTCCAGTCCCTGCAGAGATGGTTTTTAAAAGTTTGCGAGGGGTAATGACACAGGTGCCAAAGGAAATGAGTGGAACATCAGTGTTTTTCTCCCTGAGACTACTGTGATAATCTCAGTGCAAGACAACACGGAACAGAAGCTTCACCAGACAAAACAACTCTGCATCCAATGCTAGAACTGTGGTTGTTCAGTCTGGAGAAGAGAAGGCTCAGGGGAAACATTATTCCTCTCTACAACAATCCAAAAGGTGGCTGTGGTGAAGAGGGTTCAGCCTCTTTTCCCAGGTGACAATGAAAGGCCCAGAGGGAATGACTTTAAGGTGCTCCAGGATATTAGGAACAATTTCTTCTCAAAAAGAGTGGTGCTGCAGTGGCACAGGCTGCTCAAGGAGGTGGTGGAGTCATTGTCCCTGGAGGCATTACAGAATCCTGTGGATGTGGCACATGGTTGGTGGGGATGGGCTGATGATTGGACTAGATGGCCCCAGGGATCTTTTCGAATCTAATGATTCTATAAATCCGGAAAATTTATTCTTTGCCCAAATAGAAAGTTGTGCTGTTAATAAACTTCATGAAGTTGGATGCCCTGGGAATTGCACTGAGACCACAGAAGAGACATTGGAGAATACACTGCATTTGGAAGACTAGAGCACTTCCAGTTGCCGCTACTTCGTATCCATCTCCTCCCCCCTCTCCTTCTTCCCTCCCTTCCTTCTTTTTTGTTCTTTTAAACCACATTTTAAATAACATTTAATAGTTACCATTTACCAGATACTTAATTGAAATTACAGTTTAAACTTTCCCACAACTCCCAGTACTGCCCTGATGTGTCTGCAAAACTCCACTCCTCTGCTGCAGCTGAGATCCCACCTCTGTCCCCTGCAGGGGTACAGCGGAGCTCACACAGCTCCCTGAGATCCTCCCAGGAGCTCCTCCCGGTGTTTTGCTGCTGTGGAGAAGGTGATTTCTTATCTTCTCTCTTTTCTGAGGCACATTTCCATCACTGCTGCATGAATGTATCACTGTTACAAATGGCTTCATATATCTTGTTCCACTCTCTTGGCAATGTGGGAGCACTGTCATGCAGAAAAGCTGTATATGTTTCTTTACAAACTCTGTGGGAGTTATATTTTTTGAACAATTGGACTGAAAAAAAATTATATATATTTATGTATATACATATATATATATTCAACTACAGCCAAAATTTTCCCCTCAAATCCCATTATTGTGGTTCTACAGTGAGATAAATATTTTCTATGTTGGGCAGTAAAGTTCATTAGTTTCTGTAAGTCATCTTTACCCATCAAAGTCAGTAAAATTAAAATAATAGAATACACTTCTGTATTCTATTGCTAAGTGCACACACACACACACACAAAAAAAAAGCATTACTGTATTAATCAGCATATATTTAGTGAGGAGATAAAGGATGTATGTGATAATGTTCTGAAAACTCTCTGCCTCCCCTCACATGTTAAGGAGCAGATCGGCACGGGGCTCTCGTGTCTTCAGCAGGAACAGCCCTGAGAGAAACGGCTCCTCTCACACTGCGATCCCTTCTATCTGGGATGGGGGTTCTGGAGGCTCTCTGCTTACTCGCTGCGGCCACGTACAGGTAAAAGTATGACAGGTATATAAATGCGTGTTATATGCTGGAAAAAATACCCATCGCGTTCTAACCCACACAAAGGAAATTCATGGAACATTTGAAGAAGAAAAGGACGTTTTTATGCGTGGCTAAGAATTTCTGTCTCTTGGTCTCTTAAGAAATACATAGGATTCACTGACAGGAAGAAGCCGAAGGGCGAATAGGAATGAGCTGGCACAGATTAATGAATCTGAGAGATAATTCTTTCCAGAAAAGCATTAACACGCGTTCTTAAAGCATAACGTGAGGCAGCCAAGCAGAACAGAAGCCGGAAAGGACGATCAGGGGCGGGGCGGCAGCGTGGAGTCTGATCCCCGATTGGCCAAATTTTGCCGCAGACCCCGGGGCAGCAAAGGCGGAGAACGGGATGGGGACGGGAGCGCCGGACCCCGAAGCGCGACTCCCGCAACAGCCCCCCGTGGAGCCCAGGATCCATCATAGAATCATCCCCCGCGGGGGGGGGGGGGGAGGTGGAAACGGGAAAGGAAGGAACCGGGTGGCAGCTCAAGCCCAGCTGATCCTGGCCGGCGACAAGCAAAGCCGGAGGCACGAACTGGGTGAAGCACCTTGGAAAAATAGAACCCCGCCGCCTCGCTGCCACCCGCCCGCGGGAAGAGCTCGCTGGGGCGCGCGGGTGGAAAGGGCGGAGATTGCGGTCGAGCCCCGCCTCCCTTCGCCCGCCGCAGTTCTCAACCAGGTCGGCTCCCGCGCCATATAGCGCCACTCGGCGGACTCCACGGCGCGCAGTGTGGTCTGCGGCGGGAGTGGTAGTATGTCTGGCAGAGGCAAGGGCGGGAAGGGGCTCGGCAAGGGGGGCGC